TGCAACTTTACAGATCTTCTTTATGCACCAAGAGCTTGTAACACTCCAAAGAGAAAGGAAAAATTGAAATCGCATCATATGACCCCTTTAAAAAAATATATATATATATTAGAGTTAGGACAGAATCAACTACACGAAAACACATCACTGCCAGGAGTCATTGCCCAAACTTCCAAAGGCCTGTTTAAATTATTAAAACTAGAGGCATTTATTAACTTTAAGATTACTTTTTATCATGTAAACTATATGTACAGCATGTTATATGCACGTGACAGAGGGGAACACGGCCGCATCACAGCATGCTGCCCATATCAAAGCACATGACAGACAGTTGTCGGAGAACACCTGAAAAGCGTGACCGAATGAACGATACTCGTCTGTATTTGCAGTAGCCTACACAAGCCGCGGTTCAGCTGCGCGACAAACGTTGCCCTGCCAGTGTGAAAGCACAATGCGTGTACATATAATTTTATTTTCACCAAAAGGAGCTCATAAAAGGCACTTTACCTCATTGTTACTCCACGTTTGGCCTCTGCTCATTTTGTTTTGGTTACATCGCGTCTTCAAATCATGTCGCATAGCCTCGCATCTTATCATTACTTCCTGTTTTTGGTTCGTTTAGAAGTATTTGGTCCATGTTGTGTTCATATATAATTCGAACCGCAGTGGATGGAAAGTGTCTTGTACTTTAGTTTTACTTTAAGTATATGTTAGGCTACTTCACAGCTCCTAGTTCTGTTTTTACACTACAACACTAATCTGATAAACTGCTGTTCTTCAGCATCAATAATGAAGAATCGAGAATAAACACCAACCTCTTTGTTCTTCAGTATCTTCATGTTTTATTCTGCAGAGTTCTGGATCACTCATGTTCTGCATAAACGCTTTCTTCTTCACTTGTAGGCTGATGGGAAAATATTCCAGCATTTATTGTTGATCTGCTGGGGGAGGAGCTTCAGTGAAGGTAACTTGTTATGTGGTAGGAGGAGCAGATCTGCCAAAATAAAATAAAAAAAGTATTCATGTTTTCACCCATTTTATGTATTTATGTTCATCTATATCTAAATTTATACTGAATTTGTTTTTAAAACAAATTAATGTCCTGTTTTTGGTTCGTTTAGAAGTATTTGGTCCATGTTGTGTTCATATATAATTCGAACCGCAGTGGATGGAAAGTGTCTTGTACTTTAGTTTTACTTTAAGTATATGTTAGGCTACTTCACAGCTCCTAGTTCTGTTTTTACACTACAACACTAATCTGATAAACTGCTGTTCTTCAGCATCAATAATGAAGAATCGAGAATAAACACCAACCTCTTTGTTCTTCAGTATCTTCATGTTTTATTCTGCAGAGTTCTGGATCACTCATGTTCTGCATAAACGCTTTCTTCTTCACTTGTAGGCTGATGGGAAAATATTCCAGCATTTATTGTTGATCTGCTGGGGGAGGAGCTTCAGTGAAGGTAACTTGTTATGTGGTAGGAGGAGCAGATCTGCCAAAATAAAATTAAAAAAGTATTCATGTTTTCACCCATTTTATGTATTTATGTTCATCTATATCTAAATTTATACTGAATTTGTTTTTAAAACAAATGAATGTCTTATATTTTACTGTTGTGTCAGTGAATCAATCTATTTTTACAATTTTATACATTTATTCTTATTTTTATCGGGCAAATAAATGAATGGAAAAATAAATATGGGATAAACAATTATGAATAAATACCGCAATTAAAAGAATCCAAATAAAATAACAATAATAATATTTTTTTTTTTTAAATGTAACGGTAAGGAATACAGAAGGATAAATTAATTTAGAAATACATTTACAGATTTGTAAGCAACAAATAGCACATTTAGATTAATATTTGTGAACTGGGTTTTAGTTTGCAGTTGTTTTTACATGAAACATGATTTATAGACTACTGAAAATTAACTGTAGATATCAAAAGTGGTGATACTGTAGTTTACTTTAGTCTGTTGACCCCTATAAATTGAGCTTTAACTGGCAGTTTACAGGTGATCTGAAAACATCTGCATAATGAATGAGGTGAAAACAGGAACTATTGACATGCAATATAGAAGCATTTTAGCCTGTTAATGGTAACACTCCTGAACCTAAATCCATACAAACCCAGATTTAACTTTCTAGTAACTAAATTGATAGAAAATAAAATAATTAGATAGTTACATGTTGCCATGATAATTAAAAGAGCATGACAAAGTAATATTTTAATGTTTCCAGTGTCAAACTTAATTCACATGTAACTATAGATTCACGTGTTTGTACCTGTGATGGACTTAATAGGTCCTGTGGCTCCTCATAGGCTCAATATAACATATTTAGCAGTAATTATATATACACACTGTAAATTGCTTGTCTTATTTCATTAGACTCAAGTGAGCGGCTTGTTTAATGCTGTTTGAGCATAAGGAACAATATAAGACAACTTTTGTCAGATTTCATTGGTTTTGATGTCTCCCCATTCAAAGCGATACTCATGTAGTACTTCTGAAAAAGGTTAATAATGAGAAAAAAAGAGTCATATAGTATTCAATCAGAGTCCCTGATGTTGTCAATAGGCCTATCAATGTTTCTTAAGCCTCTTTACTGAAGAAAATATCAGGCTGCATTTTATACCCAGTTCATAGAAAGTGTTTTTAATTTAAGTGTCATTTCACAGCTTCTGTGGCACCAACCTCTCTGTTCTTCAGTATCATGTTCCCGTATATTCACCAAAGGTTTTGTTTTCCCCTCTTTTTTATTGAACATAATATAAAATGCACATTTATAAACATAAACATAAACATGCTACATGTCTGCATGCTTATTTGTAGGTTTCACATTTAAAGCGATCCTTCCACGAACATTTATTAAAGCTCCCTACATATTACAGTTTTTATCATTTAAAATGTCTAGTGTATGTTTAATGTTATGTGTAGAATTTTAAATATTAAATTATTATTTTGTTAAATGTAAACAAATAACAGTAGATTAGTAGAACAGTAGAAAAAAAAAGTCATTATTTTTTGGTTTAGAAAAAAATTAAACATTCAAATTAAACATTCTAATATATGGGGGGGGGGACTAACTTTTTAATTTTTAAATCAAGGTTTATTGCACTTTATGATTGAAAACCCCTTTTCTTCTTTGATATATGGAGAAATATAGAAAAAATATATATATAAAAAAAACTTTCAAATAAAAAATGTCAGGATAAAAATAGGAATATACAAATTCAGAAATAAGTGTAAAGATTCATGTGCAAAAATAACACTATAATTGAGTTCTTCAGCTTCATTTGACTAACTTTTAGCTGTGTTTTTATTCAATGGTTTTTGGTTGTTTTACATGAATATGGTTTAGCAGTTAAGACATATGGTAATGGTGTAGTTTGTCTTTTGACACCATTGAAATGTTTAAATGCAGTTTACAGGTGAAATTTTACTTTGTACTTCTTGTAAATTTTACTGCATCACTGATCAAAGCTAAAGGAAAGCTTGAAGTGTATTATTGTGAATTCACTGGAATTTTAACATAAAAATTAATCAAATTTTTAATGGTTTTTTTTTAATAAATTGATTACGTCAGTTGAACTTCCCATGAATTCAGTACACTAATCTTCCAAATATTTTAAATTATAGAAACCCAGTTTTGTAGTGAGAACTTTGAAATGTTTGATGAACTACACAATTATGTAATGTTGAAATTGAAAATATATAGCTATACACAATTTAGCTAATATTTTCATTAATTTTAAAGGGGTCATATGAAGCTACTAAAAAGAACATTATTGTGTTAGAACAAGCCGTTTTAGGTAGGTGTGGCTGACTCTTAACTTTTATAAAGAATATCTCTTTGGATTTGAGACTTTAGTCTTTGCAACTTTACAGATCTTCTTTATGCACCAAGACCTTGCAACACTCCAAAGAGAAAGGAAAAATTGAAATCGCATCATATGACCCCTTTAAATTAATTTATTTGCATTAGCATTATTAACTCAACCCTGTTATGACATAATTTTCCTCATTTAAATGGAGCATTTCTTAAAATTGTAGAGAATTAAGTCTAAACACCAATTTATTCATGTTTTTCTATATTTCTTTGTCCAGTTGTTCATTTAGCAGATACAAATAAGATTGAATGTATAGGTTTTTTTGTTTTGTTTTTTTAAGTGTTTGTCTAAAAAACAAATTCAAACAGATTCACCTTCAGTGAAGCTCCTCCCACAGAATTTCAGCAATAAATGCTGGAATATTCCAATCAGTCTACAAATGAAGAAGATAGAATTTATTTAAAGAACATTGAGAACATGAGTGATCCAGAAACCAGCAGAATGAATCATGAAGATCCTAAAGAGCAGAGAGGTTGGTGTTTCTTAATTCTTTATTAATGATGCTGAAAGCATACATGAATTACCCCATAGTAGATCTATACAGGTGGAGCTGGGGAAGGTGGAGAGTTTCTGAAGTGCACTGCAACAGCAAGCTCTAGTCAAGCATTTGAATGTTGAGCAGCAAGCTCATTGGCTGCTGATATAAAAGAGAACCAATCAGCTGCACCATTTGATAATAGTCATTATGTCAGATAACGTTAGACCTATCAATCTGCACCATTTACAGTTTCATAACAGAACTTTGGATGGGATATATTTTTAAAAATACCATAATTAAAAAGTGCAAATTAAAAACTTGATAAAAACATAAGGATATACAACTTCATTTAGCTGAGTTTTTGTTCACTGGCTTTTAGTTTTTGGGTGTGTTACATGAAACATGGTGCAGTTTGCCTCAGTCTGTAGACACCAATGAAATTAGCTTTAAGTGGCAGTTTACAGGTGATCTGAAGACAACAGCATAATGAATGAAGTGAAAACAGAAACTACCAAGTGGAACCTGTTCAAAAACATTTTTATTGCATCACTGATCAGAGTTAACAGAAAGCTCAAAAGGTATTAAACATTTTGAAGTCACAGGAATTTTAACAGAATCAATATTTGAATTGTCCAGTGCACAATTGAACTGGCTGTAACTGAACTAGCTAACAAGAGTCTTAACTGAAATGAAACTAAAGTATAGAATGTCTTTAATATTAAAGATAGTCTCTTTGTCATTTAGAAAGGGGTTTGGCAAAGATCTCAGTCCCGTTTTCAGAACAAGTTCAGAAGGTCTCATTAGAAGGCAGGAGTCTGTTTTACAATGGTCTTTTTCCATAATGTGAAAGCAAATGTGATTTAAGACCACTTACATGTGTGAAACTCTTCCCACACTGTGTGGCTTTTCAGAAGTCAGAAAGAGCTTTCTCTAGTGTGGATCATCTTATGTCTTTTCAGATGTTCTGGTTGAGAGAATACCTTGTCACATTGTGAACAGTTGTAAGGTTTTTCTCCACTGTGGATTATCTGGTGTCGTTTCAGTTTATCAGATGTAATGAAGGTTTTCCCACAATCAAAGCACATGTGCTCTTTCACACCGCTGTGTCTTTTATGGTGTAATTTAAAAGCACCTAGTCGTGGAAAACTCTTTCCACACAAAGAACACACATAAGGCTTCTCCTTTGTGTGAACTTTTAGGTGGCTCTTCAGGGAATCTCCATAAGAAAAGCTTTTACCACACTGATCACAGTTATATGGTCTTTCTCCAGAATGAGAACGCAGATGTAATTTAAAAGTTCTTGCCTGTGCAAACCTCCTCCCGCATTGATCGCATGTGTGCGGTTTCTCTCCAGTGTGGATTTTCATGTGAGAAATAAGGGTTTCTTTTCGTGCAAAACTCGTCCCACATTGATCACACGTGTGCGGTTTCTCTCCACTATGAACTCTCATGTGAATCTTAAGACTTTGTTTGCATGAGAAACCCCTTCCACACTGAGAGCAGGTGAAAGATTTTTTGGCTCTGCTTTTCAGCAAAAAATTACTTTCTCCACTTTTGACATGTTTTTCCTCTGCATCACTCAGTTGTTCACCATCTTCATTCTCTTTAACCGGGTCTAAAATGGAAGTGAAAAGAATTCAATCATTAAAAAAATAATAATAATGAATTTATTAAATAAAAGAAATAAAAGGAAGAGTGATGGAGAAGTAGATAAGTCAACCCTGCAGCTGAAAGAAAACAATTACCACAAAAGCTATACAAATTTATGAATGTTTTGATTTAAAAAAAAAATGTATTACAGTTTAGCTGACCTTTTACATCGATCTTCCAATTATTATTATAGAACCCCTTGTTTTTGTAGTAAGAACTATTAAAAGAACTACTAAAACTACAAATTTATGTAGTTAATATTAAAATACAACAGTGTCTTAAATTTGACTCAATTTGGCTAAAAGATTTTCATTGATTTTCACAATTTATTTGCATTTGCATTGTTAACTGAACCTGTTACAACACCATTTTCCTCCTTTTTAAAAATGTTTGCATTTCTTCCATTTGTAGAGAATTAAGAAGAAACACCAACCTCTTTGTTTTTCAGTAACTTCGCATTTTATTCTGCTGGGTTCTGGATGACTCATGTCCTCACTGTTCTTTTATAAACTCGAGCTTCTTCACTTGTAGGCTGACAGGACGAATTGCTATGTGGTAAGGAGCAGACCTGCCAAAACAAATAAATTAATAAAATAAATTGGATGTAAAATGGATGTTTAAACATTTTTTTTTAAACAGTTAAAAAAAATTAACTCAAATTAACAGCAACAAAAAAACTAAGAATAAAAAACAAGAGTTCCTCCTTTTTAAAAATGTTTGCATTTCTTCCATTTGTAGAGAATTAAGAAGAAACACCAACCTCTTTGTTTTTCAGTAACTTCGCATTTTATTCTGCTGGGTTCTGGATGACTCATGTCCTCACTGTTCTTTTATAAACTCGAGCTTCTTCACTTGTAGGCTGACAGGACGAATTGCTATGTGGTAAGGAGCAGACCTGCCAAAACAAATAAATTAATAAAATAAATTGGATGTAAAATGGATGTTTAAACTTTTTTTTAAACAGTTAAAAAAAATTAACTAAAATTAACAGCAACAAAAAAACTAAGAATAAAAAACAAGAGTATGCAATAAACGTAGAGATTTCCAAGTAACAAATAACTCTTCAGTTAATCTCATCTTCATATTAACTTGTCATTTTGCTTTGTTTTTGTTCACAGGTTTTTTTTTTTTTATTATTTATTTTGTCGTTGATTTGTAGTGATGTGTAGCCTAGTTTGCCTCAATCTGCACTGATGGGCAATATTTCTTAACTAATGTTTTCAAAAACGTTAGTAAAACACGTAAGAGCTACAGAAACACACAATGAGAAACCGTTATCAAGCAATAAAACCAATTAAAACGCAGTTTACAACGAACAATTATAGACGATAAACGATAAAATAATTTACCTCAAAACTCTTTCAGTGAGATGGCCAGGATACAGCGCACGCATGCTAGCATTCACACAGGTGGAGCACTTAGTAAAATCATATCAGTATGCATTACAACCCTGTCAAAATGAAGGTCTTTCCAAACAATTTAATTCAGTGCAAAACAAACATACACATACACCCATATACATACACACACATATATGAGCAATATCAAAGAACTCCTTCCTTCCGCCACGGATTCAAAGCTCAAGTTGACAGTTAAACATACGTCGCTTTTACAATTCGTATTAAGGGCATGTGCTGCTTCAGTTAGGTTATTAGTGAGAAATAATTATATATATATATATATATATATATAAATATATATATATAAAATACAGACTTTACAAATTCTATTTAACATATTAGCTGGGCATTTACACCGTTGATGCCAATGAAATTAGCTTTAGGTGGCAGTTTACAGATGATCTGAAGACATCAGCATAATGAATGAGGTTAAAATAGGAACTATTTACATGAAGTAAAGAGGCTTTTACAGCAGCTGTCTGACTCCTGAAACGAGCCTTTGATCAACAGAGATCTCACTGTTATTCAAAGTATCTGTGGTATAAACTGATTATTTGAGTCTGAATATAGGCTATGGCGAAAGAGTATAAAACTGCTGTATTGTCAAAATCTGTCTGGTTTTACTGCTGTATTCTCACAAGAATCACATTTTACATTACGTTTTACATTAGTGCTGTTAATGCTGACAGCCCTAATATTTACACGATCATAAAATACACTTTAGATACTTGTTTTACTAAATTGTTCAAATGAATTTGTATACTTGAAGCATTATTAAATACTTTATATCGAGTCCATGAAGAATTAATGATATAATTCCTTTACTGCTTATGAATGTAGTTATTGGACAATCAAACTATGTTTAGATCAATGGACACACATGAAAGCAGCAGAAAATACTACTGTAAAGATGGGAGTAATTTGTACTTGCTTTATATCAGAGGTCTCCAACTCAACTTCTGGAGGGCCACAGCTCTGCACAGTTTAGCTCCAAACAGCTCCAACTCACACCTGCTTGGAAGTTTAATCCTGAAGACCTTGATTAGCTGGATCAGGTGTGTGTGATTAGAGTTGGAGCTAAACTGTGCAGAGCTGTGGCCCTCCAGGAATTGAGTTTGAGACCTCTGCTTTATATATTTCTGGTGCTTTATCTCAGATTGTGAGATTCAGTTGTGAGCACTCCTAAATTATATGTGCATTCTCATTCTGGAGAAAGACCATTTCACTGTAATCTGTGTGGTAAAAAAAAATGTATTTCGGCAGAATCCCTGAAGAACCAAAAGTTCATATAAAACAGAAGCCTCACATGTTCTTTGTGTGGAATAAGTTTTCGTCTGTTGAACACTTTAAAATTACATCAGAAACATCACAACTGTGTGAAGAATTTTATCTGCATTGATTGTGGGAAGACTTTTTTTTTTTTTTACAGATTCTCAACTGAAACTGCATCGGAGAGTTCACAATGGAGAAAAACATTTGTCATTTTCACTTTCACTTTATGATTTAAATTAAATCATCATGATTTTTCTATTATATAACAAAAATTATGCTGTATTATAGAAATATGTTTTTTAAATGTTCTTTTGCTTGCATGTTTATATATATATATATATATATATATATACTGTGTGTGTGTGTATATATATATATATATATATAAGTTTTACTTTTTCTTCATTGTTGTGCTTAGAACATCCAGTTATACCACTTATGGCATATTTATTAAACACAGATGTCATAAACTACCATGTAGCTTATTAACTGTCTTATTCATTTCTCTTCTTCTCTTGACATGCTATCTTGTAAATAAATAAAAAAAACTAGATTGGTTTTGCTATTTAATTGCTATGCTTTATATGTTAGTTCAGTTTAATAGGTTTTGCATTCTCCCAAGAAGCGAGTGAAGGCATCTCCATGTCCCTTTAGAGGGCCCCATGTTATTCTATTTGCATAGGTATAAATCATTCAATTCAATTTTAGTTATGTTTGAAAGTCAGAAAGTATCTGATTGGTTTTGGGTTTTTAAATTGTACATTTTAAGGACAGTTCACTGGGCAGCTATATTTGCAATGCTTCCAGGTGGCTATTTCGGGCATCCAGGACCAAGGCTGTGTTTGGAATGGCACACAAACATACTGCTTACTGTTTACACATGAGTGAAAAATGTCTTTCCTTTTGACTCTACTCACCACTAGACTTGCTCTAACCCATAAAAATGTTGTTGGCATGAAGTCAAGTTGATTCAGTGGAATTAAATTAAATCATGTTTTTGACTTCAAATCAGTTGATTAGATTTAATTTTGCTAAGCAAAAAAAAAAAAAAGTACACTGTAAAAAATGTTAACATAAAAATGTGCTTACTATGGTAACATGTTAATTAACTGTCAAAAATAAGATTATCATGTTTGAATCAAATTGACAGGTTAGCTCATTTTTAGGGTTCAGGTAACAGTAAAGCTCCTTACAGGAACAACTTTTTACTGTGTAGAATACTTCAATTATACATAGGTAAAAATAACTAATTATACACAGCAAAATCCCCAGAGTTAAATCAACCCTGCTCAGAGTACATATTGTCCCAATCTACAGAGTGTTAAAGTAACACTGAAGCAGAGTTACCACTGTTGAGGATTATGTGATGTGTTTTCATGTCTAAAAGCCTGAGCAGTAGTTGTTCATCTTCAACATTGTTAACAGTGGGTTTTCTTTACTAGTGCTCAGTCATTACTTAATTAACTGCTTAATTGTCCCATTAACTTTAACTCGGCTTCAGTGTTACTTTAACACTCTGTAGATTGGGACAATATGTACTCTGAGAAGAGTTGATTTAACTCTGGGGATTTTGCTGTATAGCTTTGTTTTCCAAAACATCACAAAATAATTATCTTAAGATGTATGGTAGATTAAGTCCCAGCCATCATCAACATTTTAATTTATAATTAAGACGAGACCCATAATCGATGTGCGAATTTATTATCCCGCCTCCAGTCATAGTATCCCTTGCAGTGTGTCCCTAGATGCATACATTAGATTTCAGTAAATGTAGTAGGTTATCCAGAAAGTCTATACATACAGAAAATTCACATACTATTAACAGTATACACATTGCATACATTAGGAGTTAGTATACCATTCCGTACACAGCTTCCGTACCAATTTCAGTGTACTCAAGTTATATTTAGCAGATTATAGTTGTATTTGGCAAATATAGTAGGTCATAGCATGGGTGGAATGAGTGGAAGGCTGGGTGGGACCAGCAGCAAGGAAGGAGACTTGAGGCTGGGCAGGATCTATGGGGATTGGAGGCTCCAAAGAATTAAATCATCCAGTTTATCATTTCAATTCTTTGGGACTTCACATAGCACACCTTTAGTGGTGGGAGTATAGTGTAGGAAATTTAGAAGTGAAGACCAGGAGTCTCATACCGCTTTTTCACCAGGGCTGGTACCGGAGCCGGAGACAAATTGGTAACTGGGCCGTGCTTTTCCACTCAAAAAAAAAATCCTGGACCGATGCCCAGATCCTGGTTCAGAACCAGCTCTGAAAACCATTGGGAATTATTAACTAATTTCTGTATCCATTATAAGGCTGTCACATACTGTTACAAAAGAATGACTAAGGCCCAAAGACCCAAAGTTTCCAGTGCAGACTGCATAGCCTTAGCCTATGGGACTATTACAGGATGAACAAACGACTCTGAATCAAAGGTGAACTCGCGAGGTGAACTAATCATTTCTGTTTCCTGCACAGAGTTTTAGTGTTCATTGTGGGATTAGAAATTTAAGAATCTGTTTAAGATCTGCTGATCCTACATCCTGACATATCACAACAAAACTAAGGTGAAGTACATTGTATTTAACATTCAAGGTAAAGATGATGACACTGAATGAATGATTCTGTTAAGCAAAGTTTCCAGCAAGAGGTTTCTGCCCGTTCCTGTTCTCTTTATTGTCAAATAACACTCTCATCTTATTTATTTAATGGTCCTTGGTGCCCGTCCCATTCTTTTAACAGTTAGCTGATTGGATAAGGACTGGTGAAACTCTACACTCTGGGGTGGGTTCCTATACCTGCATACTTAATTTGCATGCTTTGTATCAAATCAAATCAAGGAGGACAGCAAACCTGAAAGTCAATTCAGTTTACTTGAAGTTTATTAAAAAAGACATTTTCAAAAACTGGAGTGGTTTCCTTGTTTTATTTATTAGTTAGAATGGGTATAAGTATGACTCAACATTATTAATAACTGCAAAAGCTGAATAATTGATCAAAGCCTACTGATTAATCTCAGAATTAATCAATGATCAGTTGATCGGTTAATTTTTCTAATAGTCTTTTGATTATCAAAATAATCGTTTGATGCAGCCCTACACAGCACCACACCTGGAAGATCAGAACTTGAACTTACTGTAATTTCCGACTGGCATCTTTTTTTATGAAAGAGTAGAGGAGCTAATTGAGTGAAACTCTTCCCACATGAATGGCAGTGATACGGCTTCTCTCCAGTGTGGATCCTTTCATGTATTTTTAGATATATCGCCCGTTTGAATCTCTTGTCACAAAGTGAACACTTATAAGGTGTTTCTCTAGTGTGAACTGTCCTGTGCACTTTCAGTTCAGCATCTGTAAAAAAAGCCTTCCCACACTCAGAGCAAACATGATCCTTCACACCGCTGTGTCTTTTCTGGTGTGATTTTAATGTATCCATGTTACTAAAACTCTTTCCACACAAAGAACACACATGAATGAACTTTCAGGTGGTCCTTCAGGAAATCTGCACTAAAATATTTTTTACTGCACTGATCACAGTTATACAGCCTTTCTCTGGAATGAGTATGCACATGTACTTTAAAAACACTTGATTTTCTGAAACTTTTTCCACATTGATCACATGTGTGTGGCTTCTCTCCAGTGTGGATTGTCATGTGATAATTAAGGGGTGCTTTTTGTGCAAAACTCTTCCCACACTGATCACATGTGTATGGTTTCACTCCAGTGTGGATTTTCATGTGTACGTTAAGGTTTCCTTTATGCACAAAAGTTTTCCCACACTGATTACATGTGTGTGGCTTCTCTCCGGTGTGGATCTGCATGTGTTCGTTGAGGGTTCCTTTTATTCTGAAACTCTTCCCACACTGATCACATGCATACGGCTTCTCTCCAGTGTGGATTCTCTCGTGTATTTTCAGATATTCAGACCGCTTGAAGCTCTTGTCACAGAGTAAACACTTATAAGGTGTTTCTCTGGTGTGAACTGTCTTGTGCACTTTCAGTGCACCATCTGTAAAAAAAACTCTTCCCACACTCAGAGCAAACATGATCCTTCACACCGCTGTGTCTTTTCTGGTGTAGTTTTAATGCACCCATCTGACTAAAACTCTTTACACATAAATAACATACAAAAGGCTTCACCTTAGTATGAACTTTCATGTGGTCCTTCAGGAAATCTGGCCTAAAAAAATGTTTTATTGCACTGGTCACAGTTATACAGTCTTTCTCTAGAATGAGTAAGCAGATGTACTTTAAAAACACTTGATTTTCTGAAACTCTTCCCACATTGATCACATGTGTATGGCTTCTCTCCAGTGTGGATTTTCATGTGATCATTAAGCGCTCCTTTTCGTGCATAACTCTTCCCACAGTGATCACAGGTGTGCGGTTTTTCTCCATTGTGGATTCTCATGTGTTCATTAAGGGCTCCTTTTTGAGTGAAACTCTTCCCGCACTGATCACATGTGTATGGCTTCGCTGCAGTGTGGATTTTCATGTGATCATTAAAGGGTGGTTTTTGTGTGAAACTCTTCCCACTTTGATCACATGTGTGAAGTTTCTCTCTAGTGTGGATTTTCATGTGTACGTTAAGGTTTCCTTTTTGTGCAAAGCTCTTCCCACACTGATCACATTTGTGCGGCTTCTCTCCAGTGTGGATCCTCGTATGTTCGTCAAGGTTTCCTTTAAATGGGAAACTCTTCCCACATTGATCACATGTGTATGGCTTCTCCAGAGTGTGGATTTTCTTATGTTCATCAAGGTTTCGTTTTTGTGGGAAACTCTTCCCACACTGATCACAGATGTGTGGCTTCTCTGCAGTGTGAATTTTCATGTGTTCATTAAGGTTCCCTATTATTGTGAAAATCTTATCGCACTGCTCACATTCATACGGCTTCCCTCCACGATGAAATTTAATGTGAAGATCAAGATTTTGCTTACATGAGAAACTCTTTCCACACTGAGGGCAAGTGAAACATATTTTGTCACTTGTTTTCAATGAGGGACTCAAGGATTTTTCTTCAGTTTTGACATGATGTTTCTCTTCCACTTCAGTCAGTTCTTCAATCTCCTTTTTCACTTCTAACAGGCCTAAAATTAAAGCAAAAAAAGTTCAAAGGGTTAAAAAGTGTGATTTTCATCAAAAAAAAAAAAATCAGTGTTTCCCATTTATTACCTACAATGTGGCAGACTGTCATAGTCTAATCTTTGCTGCCACAGTTTCAAAATGAACCCAAAATATTTTAAAACTCCTAAAACATAAAAGGTCTCTAACATTGTTTTTCATTATTGCTTTGGGAAAGTATCTGTCAAACTAAAATCATAAGTGTGATATGGCTGTTTGATATCAAAAAGCAAAAGACTGTGATTCAATTAAGTAAGTATATAGTCTGTTTGCACTGTGTGTTCCAAAGCAAAGTGCGCACTAGGGCTGGGTGATATCAATAATCGAGTTAAAAAATGATTGCGATAATATTGTCTACCTGAGCTCCACCTCCATGCTCGCCACGCCCCTGCTGGAGACAACACTGCCGACATGCACCATAAAGATACCATGTTCAGTTTGGCTGATCAGCTTGTGAATTGGTGTTTTCCGCAGTGTTGAGGCTGGATCCTCTTACTCATTTTCTATGCCCTATGGAAGTGTGGAGATCTTTATCTTCAGTAAACACTGTCAACCTACTAAAGTTCAACACTGACTCCTGGGCCCATATTCACAAAACACCTTAAGGGTAAAAGTAGCTCATAACGTGTCGATTTAGAAGAAAATCTGAAAAAAAAAAATAATGGGCATGTCAATCCTAAATTTAGGACTCCTAAATTTTTGCTCAGAGTATTTCACAGAGGGGTTTTAGCGCTAAAACTAGCTCCTAAATCTGTGAATCATTACAGGGCTCCAGACTGCGACCATTTTTTCTGCCAGTGCGAGTAAATTTTGTGAGCAGTCGCACTGGCGCGACCACCACATTGTTCAACTCGCATTGCCATTTCTGTTGCGTATGAGAAACATCACACGGCAAACGAAACAAAAGCATAACAAAATCCTGCTACTCGTTTGAGCTGCGCAGCACGAACCGTTTATCAGCTCGGACCACGACGCAAACAAACTTGTCAGAACAGAACAGCTTTACTCGGGAACCAAAGTTGATCTCGCGGCACTGTTACAGCACAGCGCTGCAAGATCCAGTGAGAAGTGTTTGAATTCACCGCACAATGAATAAGGTCGCTGTGAGATCCAGTGAGAATCATTCAAATTCTGCACAGAAATCTCTGTTATAAACAGCTCAAATGGCGCTGACGTAGAAAACCAGAAGCACTAACACTAACTATAACCAAAGCCAATAAAGGCAAGCCTGCAACCATTAGCCAAAAAAGCGTAACTGCTAATGCTAACGGAAAGGAGACCAGAGGCCTTTTTTTTTTTTAATGGATGTCAATGGAGGAGAGGCTTTACTACGCTGAATAAACAGCTTTTAAGAGGAAACGGCTTATCATTTAATAAATCGACAGCCTATCTGCTAATCTTCAATGTGTTTTACACTAAGCAATACTTTTGGATTTAACTTTTTTTTGTTTATTAGAGTTTACAACGAAAAAAAGCCATTTTATAAGAGAAGTCACTGACTTTTTGCAACAGGTGGGATTCAGCTTACGACACTTCTCATTCATTCCTATGGTATCCGTAAATGGCGACTGAATGTCGCACAACTTCAACTGAAATTCAATGACGTCAAAGCTGTAATGTGATTGGTTATTATGGCACACGTGTTCCAAGTTAGCCGTTACGCTTACTCCAATAGTAAGTAATACAGACCCTCTCATCTCCCTATAGTAAGATAATCTCTGCTATAACCATGGTGTTGTGGCAGAAATAGTCGAATGTTATTATATTATTCATTTCAGGGTTTGTACAACCATTTGAGAGAGAAATTCAAGCAATTTTCAATGACTTCCAAGCATTTCACACAACTGTTTCCAGCACTTTAAAGCTCCAAAATGATCCAATTTGAATGTTATTTTCAATGGGATGACCAAAATATACTGCGGTGAACAAACATTTATGTAAACATAATAACCTGTAGACAGCAGCAGAGGAGCACTTATTGGCTTATTAGTCATTCATACTTTTTTCTTTGTATTTTGAAATTATAAAATAACAATTATAAAATCCCTATTATAAAATATCAAATCTTCAAGAAATCAGATTTTGTCAGTTTTGCTCTTTTTTTGTGTATGAAGTAAGAAAAGTCACAAAGTGCTTTGAAAAACAAACTTTTCTTCAGTTTGCGACTAAATCACACATAATCACTGAAGTTGTTGGTCAGTTCCATATAAGACTATAGAAGAATAATGGTACATTTAATAAGAGTACAATATATACCTTTTCTACATACAAATTCGATTTTGTACATGTTACTGTTACAAGCTTCCCAACTCAAGCTTAGTGCTTTACTGTGAAATGTAAACATGAAATAAACAAGAAATGAACATGTGCTACAACTTTTTGGCCTGTGCTACAAAACTTTCAACCTCTGTAGCACCAGTGCTATGTGAAAAAAAAAGTTAACGTACAGCCCTGATTACAAACAATACAAACCATCAACTTTTAACCATTAAAACCATTAAAAATGGTTTCCTGTAGTGTGTTTTGGGACATGTTCCGAGCCACCAATAGAAGGCAACCACTTACCAGTAGAGACCAACAGGCACCATTACAGTTACCATTAAAACCAGTAAAATTCCCATTATAACCAGTAAAACCATTAGAAAATTCTGTGATGGTTCCTAATGTATTTTTTTTCAGCAAGGCTAAAATGGCTGTTGGCGGCAATCTGCCTCAGAATGTAAACATTTTAGAAACACACTGCATTTATTTGCACACATGTTTTCCCACGGATCTTTTTTGGTTTTGGAGGTTATCCCAACTCCAAATTTTCCTTTGATTATATCCTTGTTTTCATTAACAAGTTTGGCAAGTAGTAACAGCTATTTGGTTTACTTTTACTTTTGCATGCCTTACTATCAGCCATGATTATTCTACTCTGTTCATTAAAAAGCTTTTTATATGCATAACCGCTAATTGTTTACGAGAAGCATACATGTAAGAGGCTGACAATTAGCTGAACATATGAAGAGTTTATTTACAAAAACCGATAAACACCACTTTAAAAAAAAATGCATTAAAAGTGCTGTGCATTATTCTCCATATATAGTGCGATCTGAACCCTAAACACGTTTTGTCAAAAAAGCTGGTATTGTCCACTTTCAAGGCATCGCGAATTCATGTTTTATTGCAGAAGCCGACAAGCGCCCTTGTTGTTTGTGAACAGAAGCCGATAAGTCCATTTTAGCGAATCAACGTGCTGTATTCAGATCAGGTGACAAGGCTACTTTCACTTTGAAAAGACGTGCTAGCTGAGAGGAGTTTCGTCAAAGCTGACTAAAAGTGATCGAGAATGGATAATTTCGAAAAACCTGATGAACCTGTGATATCTTCTTCAGGGCGAAAAAGGAAAATAAAAGCTGAAACTTTTTCATTGAACCTTGCAAAAGCAGCACGTTACAATGGTGAAGGAAAAGCTCTGTGTATTGCGTGTAATCACATCCATACAGTTTATGATCACAACAACAACAACAACGTTTGTCAGGCGTCTACACTGTCAGCTGATGAGATTACAAAGATATTGTATATTATATATGAAAGTGTTTTGATTCTTTATTGTTCGGTCACACACTCTATATTAGGGCTTCATTAGTTAATATTAGTTAATTCATTAGTTAAAAAACTGCCAATGAAAAATTCTTGTTAACATTCATTAATCTTAGGTAATTCCAATATTTAATAACACGTTGTTCAAATCAAAAGTTGCAACTGTGTTATTTAATGAGCTAACATGAACTAAGAGTTTATGACTTCTGTAGCTATTGCTCATTGTTAATGTTAATGCATTAACTAAGGTTAACTAATATGAGATCTTATTGTAAAGTGATAACTATTGGTCTTTATAATTCTTTTGCACTTTAATCTGTGTACATTTTTTTTAACTTTTTTGTATATTGCTTTATTGTTTTTAAATGTTCAGTTATTTTTGTTATAAGAAAATTATATATTAAGCCTGTTATACTGTATTATGACAGCACTTTTTTAAAACTAAATTGCAATACCGTGATAACACCGTATACCGTGATAAAAGCATTAGCAATTAATCGCAACATGTAAATTTGATACCAGCATATCCCTAATGGGGTATTACAAATTCCCCTACACTAAGTTCTTATATCTATGCAGTGCGAAAGCCCCTTTTAACTGATTATTTCACAGCTCTTATGATTTTTCTAACTGAAACCATAAACCAATAAATCTGATGGCCTGTTTGAAGTTTTATAACTTTATTGAAAAATTAAGAGTAAACACCAACCTATTGGTTCTTCAGTATCTTCCTGTTTAATTCTGCAGGGTTCTGGATCACTCATGTTCTTCAATGTTCTTTCGCCAACTCTGTCATCTTCACTTGTGGAAATATTCAGCATTAACTGGTGAATTGCTGTGGGAGGAGCTTCACTGTGTGGTAGGAGGTGCAAAACTGCCAAAAACAAACATAAATCAGTCATAAATACAACATAAATCATCAAATTGATGCTTTCATTAATTCACACACTTTAAACATGCTGTTTGTCTTTATATATCCAACCAATTAGATGTATGGTAATTTGTTTGAAAACAAATTCACATATTCTATATATTTATATTTTGTCTGTGAGTCAATCTATTTTTTAAATTATTATCTATTTTTGACATGAAAAGGCTATTCAGCAGCAGTTATTTGTGACACTCACTCTTTAGCCTTATCATGGAGATGAGAGACTGTTTCATTAACCACAGTTAAATAACGATCATAAAGCAGCATATGTTTTATAAACCTAATGTCAGGGCTGTACGTTAACTTTTTTTTCCACATAGCACTGGTGCTACAGAGGTTGAAAGTTTTGTAGCACAGGCCAAAAAGTTGTAGCACAAGTATAAAACGTCTGTTATCATGTCTGAAAACAAACACAACTAATGGAGTTCATCACTTAAACAGGCACTGATGTTCCATACAGAGCACAAAAAATACAAACCATCACAAAAATTGTTTTAGACAAAGTTTTCTTAATTTGCTAAAAATGGAAGAGTGCAGAAACATAACACCTCTTACACCTTAACAAAATATAAAATAAAAAACGATTGCAGACATTTAGGCAAAGTGAGCAACGATAAAAATCTTTGTCATTATTTTATCTTTGTTATTAGAAAATAAGAACAAAGATAAACATTACAAATACACATAATATAGAAATAAAACAAACAGTGCTTTATTTTTCAGGTACAGTATTTAGCAGTAACATTCAAGAAATTCAATGAATAAATATTAAAATAAAACACTATATACACTATATACATCAATTGTTGTGTTCAGCACAAAAAAGAAATTAATACAGGTTTGGGACAAAATGTGAGTAAATGACAGAAATGTAATTTTTGGGTGAACTATCCCTTTAATGACAGTGGCAGCATATTTAGTAGCTACTGTCCCTTTAAGAGCTGCACGCGTTTCTCTCTCAACTGTTTACTTTAATTTTAGACATAACCAGCTGTTGTGTCTGTATATGTAAACCTTGTGTGTTTTTCACAATCAGACTCGAAAGACAACTTAGTCCAATAATCAGGCGCTTTTTGACAGGCTCT